ACGATCCTGCGAATTAAGTATAGCGACTTCATCTCAAATGAGACAGTCCGCACCCGCTGCGATCTTATCACGAGGAAATCTCAGGCCATTCAAGAAAAGCGACTGAGGGGGTTTGGACACGTTCTCCGTCGTCTGCCCCACGAGCTTAGCTATGCTGCCCTCAGCCCATCGAAGAGGAGGGCAACTGAAGACTTGGCTTGACATCGTCTGTCAAGACATGGAAGCAGTTCTTGGACCTTCTATCTTCGGCCTCCGCCGCTGGAGAAGAGACTGGGTGGAGCTTTCCAGATCCGCTGCCGACAATCGTAACGCATGGAGAGGTGCCGTTCGTGACGTCATTGAGGCCGGCTAGATCAGGCATGATCACACCCGTAACAAGTGCAAGTAAGTACAAGAGACGCAACGAAACATTCAGGGGCGACCAATGACACGACAGAGAAGAAAGGGGTATCGGGTCGTAAGGCGACGTACCTGCATACCAACAACCATCGGTTCAACACCCTCAAAGGGTTCGAGACGAGTCATCAGTTCCCAGAGAATTACACCAAAACTCCACATATCAGACGCTTGCAAATTGATATCGCCAGGTTTCTTTTGAAGTGCTAAAAGACGGATATAGTAAAAAAGTTGTAGAAACATGAACGTTTGTGTTAAGTGCGTCGAAAATACCCACGCACAGGCACGGGTAGGATCTTTGAAAGTCTCTACAAACATTGCGTTCAGTTCGAAAATTAATTTATGCAGCAAATAAGTGTTGCATAGTCACTGTCTGCAGTTGGGCTAAGTCAAGGAAACACAAAGCCGAACTATGAACATTCTATCGTGGAAGCTGAATAAAAAACGCCACTGCTGACACTTCACAGGGTTCTGCCCTAAAACACAGGATGCATCCATCGCCAGAAGAGCCAAGCATGGGCGCAAATGATGTTTAGTGTTTTCTCCTGTCGTGCAAGTTTTTGGTACCAAATAGATCCTGCTTTACACGTTTGCCTTAAATTCATACCAGAGGAAAACGTGCTTCAAATCTCTACATCTTTATTGAGAAAAAGGGGTTTTGACGCTATGGAGGGCAATAGACAATAAGAAAAGTAAAGGAGAAGGCGTATCGAACACCGGAACAGTTTGTTTATTTTTGGAAGCTTTCAAACTCTTACGGGAGTTCATCGTCAGAGGTAAGAACAGTGACAAAAAAGGGGTAATTATAAGGCGTATACACCAATCAACTGTCGGTGACGCATATCTGGACCTGACCACGCAGGGCTCTGTACACCGGCGCTAAATCAATTGACTGAGTTCCCATTCGTGGACCAGGCCTCAACAAATTTTCGGTTCGTCTTTTTTCCGGCGTGGGCTAGAATTTTGGCGGCGGGAGGTTGAACTCATGGCCCGTGATACCTACAACTTCCGATAATTCGTTGCCCTCTCGTACAGCCAGCTTATATTCATGTTTGCGCGAGCCACGGATGGGAACTCAATCAATCGATTTAGCACCGGTGTACAGAGCCCTGCGCAGTCAGGTCCAGAGTTGCGTCACTGACAGTTGATTGGTATAAACTCCCTATAATTTACCCCCTATTTTTCGCTGTGTTTACCTCCGATGATTAACTCCTGTAAGGGTTTGAAAGCTCAGGACAATATAAAAAAGCCGTTCCGATGCTCGACAAAACCTCTTCTTCACTGAAACACCTGGAACACGAACTTTCTCATTCATTCGTGAATTAAAAAAGTTTCTAACCGAGAAAGATTGGCGAGGAGCTGTAAAAAAACTGCCAGCAGGTGCGCATTCAAAAGAATGAATGGGTAAGTAAATGAACAGAGGGAAGAGGGGGGCAAGCGCACCTTCGGGTGACATCCAGGCGGGATTATACTCTCTGGCCTTCTCGTGGAACGAAAATTTGTAATCGGCCATATCGAGTCGGGCGGTCAGTGTCTCCTCCTCGTTGTCAGGCGTGGCCACAGGGACGCCATCGACCACTTGCACACCACTGGGGCAGCCGATTTTGGCGATGTCTTCGTCAACCTGCGGGAGGAGTGTGAGAGAGGGAATAGTTTTGAGCGGTAATAGAAAAAATAGTATTCAGAAACGGTAAGTAGCATTGTTTTTATAAATAACTCTTGTTCGGAGTTTCCATAGTATTAGTTCGAGTTCACACTGTTGAGGGACAACAGAGGACACATAATTTGAAGATAGTATCCAAAGTTTTCAGCAAAAATGGCTCCATTCATTGTGAGAGCACGGAATAAATGAGCAAAATACGCTGAAATCTAGAGGTTTACATAAAACACACAGTCGTTATGGAGACAGGTTTTGCGTTTCTTTGTACGTGGGTTAGCGTGCTAGGAATGACCGTACAGAATGCTGATATGCCGATGTGCGACGTCGGAAGCCTCGGCGTATAGGACGAGACAATTTCGTAGCCATTGAGTCAGAGCGGAGGATGGACAACCCCAAAAATGTGATCAGCCAATTGCTTTGCCGCTGTAGTAAAATATAAATTGTAAAAGCGTAAGAAACACAATGAGCAACCACGCGGCTTCAGGTGGGGCATCATAGCTCAGCTAGTTAGAGCGTTGGCTGTACTAAAGCCTTACCCCTTCTGTCGTCGTTTCGAATTCCACCGTTTTTCCAAGTTGTTCACAACTGACTTCAGTGAAATAACGAAATCGCGTGAGTCTGCCATACTTGAATGCAACAGAAGAAAGCTAAGGTAATAGGCCGAGCCAACGATAAGATGGCCAAATTGCTGCTAGAAAGTTGGTCCTCGACTGGCGCACTAAACAGAGCCATAGACCTCCATCCCGCCTACCAAGCGCTCCACAGAAGGCTAACATCTGCTAAGAACGGAGCAACAGATCGGGCGGAGGAAGATACGCCTGACCAATAGCCGGCAGCCGCGATCGAAAACGGTGAAAACGTTAAGGATGCACATAAACGACGTAACGCACCTCATGGAAGTGCCCACGATGGCGCAAGCAATTCAAACAGCTACAAAAATCGATCAGTACAATCGATTTACACACGGGCATTATGCGCAGGCTCACGTTCGGACACACTGAAACCAGCAGGAAGACGGTTACCACGCTCTGACGATGGAAGAGAGCAAACTTTTGA